GGACCAGCCTGTCAGCATTGTTGCATTGACTATGAGATAGTTACAGACAACTTCCTTTATGACAGTGAGCTTCTTCTCCCTGATAGATCCCAAGTTTCATTATTTATGAAAGACTAATCCAGGCCCCTCATAAATCTATTTATTTACCAATCCCCTTTCAAAATAAATTAACCTTTAACCAAAACTACAAAACTCAACCAAAGAGCAACAAACTAACAGACTTCTTGACCTTTAAATGACAGTGAATCTGTTCTTACCTTGTTCACCGGTGGCAAACTCCACATCTGATTTGGTCCAGATCGACAGTCTGAAAAGCTCCACATGACATCCAGAATCTCAGCATGAAGGCATCTGAACCTTGACAGGGAGAAATATTTCAGTGTGCTGGATTTAATCAGGTAAAATATGGTGTAAAACACAACAATACATACAACAATGCTACAGAAGCTGTGGTCTGAAAAAAATTGTATTTAGCAGTCATATCTCTTTATTTTTTAACACAGAAACTGTTTTCGCTGCAGGGTTAGAAACTTGGTTCAAACTTTTTAGCGGCTTTTTGAGCCACATCATTTGCCAATAAAACACTTAATACTTGTAGCAATCCACATGATTTAAAATGAGAAAACTAGCAGCAGGCTGAGCAGCTCAAGAGACATTTGGATTTACACCAAATGTTCTTTCTCATGCAACTTTAAATATGTGCAACTTTCAGCTCAAAGCTCCACATTTCCCTGAGGTAAAGTTTATAAAGTTAGTGTTCTGACTGGTTTGTCTTGACAGCTTGTTTTACCTAAAATACAAACATTTTAAGTCATTAGCAGGTCTCTGCTAACAACCTGTTTATCCACCTGAGCTGTCAGCAGCATCCAGGTGCTAAAAGACACTTTGAGTATTAATGGGTCTGAATCTCACTGTCACTCATTAGCAAACAGTGAACTCATTAAATAAACCACAGTAACGAGCAGGATCTGTGCCAGAAAACAAACAGGGAGACTGACAAATTCACTCATCTTCTTACCTTCACAGCAGCAGAGTCTAGGCTTTGTTAAACACTTAAAAAATTGAAAAATAGAAACCATAAAGAGTGAATATTTACCTGAAAAGTTGAAAAAATGTCCTGAGAAGAGAGTGGAGGTCACAGAGGAGGTGCGTAAACAGCGCCTCCATTAACAAACGCGTGCGTCTAACCATGACTCAGCAGGTTTGGGCCTCACTGCTGATCTAGTTTTTAATAAAACTGAGAGTTAAAAAACAAAAATTAAATAATGTCATTAAATTTTCAGGGATTTTGTTGAGTGATCCTCACCAACGAACGGAGATTTGTCACGTTTGCGCTCCACTAACCCACGCACCCCGGAAACACAAACTTAATATGCCGGCAGGATAGTGGGAGGTCCAAACTGGCAAAACCAAAAAAATTAGATTTTTGATTGATTTATTTATTTATTATTCTCATAATATGGTGGCCCTGAAGATCAATTAATGACCACAACATTTCACAAAATTAAAAAAAAAAAAAAAAAAAAAGAATTTATTTATCAAAATTATACATAATAAAGACAGGATGTTCATGGGTTTTCAAAATAAAATCTTTATATACAAAAATATTTTTGACTTAACATATATATTAAACATAAAAACATTGTAAAAGCAATGTAACACAAAAATCAATTTTTTAATCTAATAAAAAAGAAAACCCACAACTTACAAAATTTTTTAATTTAGAAAAATAATCACAGCCAAAAATGTACATAATGTTTTGATTTTTTCTTTTTTTTTCTTCTTTTTTTCTGTTGTTGTTGTTGTTTTATACAGTATTTTTCTGAGTTGTTTAATTTTTGGCCTTTACTTGTTTTTTTTTTTTTTTTTTTCTGATTAGCAACAAAAATTTTGTGTCCCTCTGTAGTTTTGCATAGTGTGACTTTAATTTTCTGATTGTTTGTTTGGATCTGTAGAAATATCTTTGTGTTAAGTTTAATATTTTTGGGGGTCATGATCGGTCTGCACAGTAAACTTTCAGAAAAACAGCAAAATACACCGAATATGCGGCAATAGGTCGTTTACAGTAATAGCAACTAACATCACAAAGTTCTTCTTAGAGGCAGGAAAATAAATCAGAAACAACATCTCCCTTAAATCTTTTTTTAGATTCAGCTTATAAAATAAATAATGTTGTAATCTATAGTTAATACCAAGATTTAACATTCCCTCAAACCTCATCGTCCTGATTTCTCACCCATGTCAGGAGAAACGTCTCCACAGCAGCATAAATGTAAAATATTTGATCAAACCCTTAAAAACTTGCCTCAGAGAGAATAAACAGATGAAGTTTCCCAGCCTGCACAGCAGCTTGATGTTTGAGTTTTTATCCCATATTAATTGCAGAGAGGAGGACGAGTCAGGAGCTCAGCACGGTGATGATAAATGAAACATGTGACTGCTGTCACTGCCAAAAACAGACTGCTCTCATGTTTGACCTACATACGCTGAATTGATGCCTTTCCTCTTTATGTTTCTATCTGTACAATTAAACATTAACACAAAGCACATTATTGATTTTCAGGGGGGGAACACTCATAATTCGAGGGTTTTGGTCTTTGTGTTTGTGGCTCACTGACCCACAATCAAATCAAATAAACTCTAAACAGATATAAGAGTGTATTTTCCCTCAAACTGAGCCCCCTTCTTTGATGACTCCTGATTCAACTCTGCGTTTCCTCTTTAATTGGCAGAAAGATTTAAAAGAAAATGTCCGACATGTATTTGTAAAGTGGGTCTTTTGTTCAATAACAAGAAAATCTTCATGAGTGAAGTTCTTTGTCACCAGATTAGCTGAATCCTCGCCCGCCTTCATACTGTCTCCACAGCCTTTAATTAGGAAACATAATTAAGAGACTCTCTAACTCCTCGCTCTTTATTTGAACGATGTACAAATCCTATAAATAAATAAACAATAGAAGTGAATGTTTCATTGTTTTGTCTATCAGGGAGATCACCCTCTGTCATCAGATAATCACTATCTACGAGGCGGGCATGTTTTTAAAGGACATTTCGCATATTTTATCAATACAGTTCTTTAACATAGATTGAAAGATTCATTCAGCTCTTTGTTTTCTCCTCTAACGTTCGATTTCTGTTCCTCACTGGACGCTGAAACAGAGTCAGACTCGTCCAATTAGCTGATTGTACTCCGTCCAAGGACACGTAATGCATGGAGAATTTCATGTAACAACGAAAGAGTGACTCCATGTGGATCCAATAACGGACTAAAGAGAGACCGTACAGGCCGTCCAGCAAGAAAATCAAGTCCGCTACAACAAAATCTGAAGGAAATCTCAAAAAACCCCAAAAGACAGGAAGAGTAGATGCATTTCATTGATTCAGCTCTAACCCTGGAATGATACCAGGAAATATTCCAGGTGAAGTCAGAGTGAAAAGCTCACCCTTTAAGGGTAAATTCTGGACATTTTCAGGACTTTTGTTCACGTCTAAAAGGGTCAAGTTAGTCTCAAAAACCAATGAAACAGATGACAACATTCAAAATTGAATACTAATGAACCTAACTTCATTTTCTTAAAGCTATTCCTGAACTTTAGCGAACTTAATCAAATGGAAATGCCAACAAAGATCAAATTTGAAGACTAGATTTTAATTAAGAGCAGCGTTTACGTTTGTCTCCCGCCAATAGAATCTAAATGAACTTAAGGCACATAAAAGCACCTGTGCTCCTGTGGCGAAAAATGACTTTCAGGGAATCAGCCTCGAGGTCGAATATTCGTCCGAATAATAATAATTTATTTCTTAACGAATTAATTAGAAAACACAGAGAGTCCTCCGGCTGCTTTCTCTACCTTCAGTTTACTGATCTTTAAAGGAGACATACTGAGAGAAAATGAGGTTTCAGGGCGATAGTATCAGAATGAGAAATGTGGAGTTTGATTTTCTTTTAGTCAAGGTTGAATGCTCGAAGCGCTTTTTCTTTTCACTTTTTGTTCCACTACAAAAAGTGCATTTTAACAGCTCATTGTCTTAGTAAAACAAAAAGCTTTGTCTGATTAATTTTCAGAGCAAAAAAAAAAAGAAACAATATGCCCAGAAAGATGCTTTTTTAAAAGAGAAAATTAGCTGTGTTGACTGGTTTTCCCTTAAAACTTTGAACAAGATTGCTTAACCATTAAAAAAATCACTGATTTTCAAGTCACCAGTTAACACTCTCATTAGTAAAAATCGAGCAAAAACAGAGCAGGCTGATATGTGTCACTTTGGACACTCTGGAGAGGCGCTGCTGCTGGTTTGGATGGGTTGAACTCGCTCTAGTGTGTGTGTGTGTGAGAGAGAGTGTGAGGACCATCTGTAAGTGTGTGGTTTCAGCTGAGAGTCAGATGTGGTTCAGCGGCTGCAAACCCCGGCAGCCATCTTTGAAGAGGAGACAGTCACAAGAGTGGAGAAAGTTCTTTAAAGGAAAGTTAATTTGATTCCGAAACAGAGCTAATAAGCTGCGACTCTTTCACTTTCACCGTCTGACAGTGAGAAAGTGAAAGCAAGAGAAGCGATCTCCCTCTCTCTCCTTCTTTTCTCTCTCCACCTCTCTCATCTCTGTTTCTTTTGAAGAAGGAAACAACAAAAGCAGCATTTAGTGTCAGCGGGGGTCTTTGATGTGAACAGGCCTTAAACAGTCCTTTCAACAGCCAGTCAAGGGAGGGGTGAGGGGGCAGCGGGGGGTCAATCGGTCGTAGTAAACTTACAAACTTGCTTCAGTGCACGAAATCTAACTTTCTGTGCACTATCAATCTAAAATAAGATGTCAAAGAGGGTGTAAGTTTAATCAGATAATGTAATAATAAGAATAAAAATGTAAAAACAGTAACCTGTATCTGCTCTTTTTTAGTGATTTTTATGATAAATGCACTTTTGCAAAGCTCCGCTGACAATCATCTTGATTGATCCGTGTAAACACCCAAACTCTCCTGCATCCTTGTCCCCCCTATTAAGCATCATTTCCCCAGTGCAGATCTGTCTCCTGTCTTTTGTCACATCATGTCAAAATCGCCCCAACTTCCCCGCCGACGAGATGAGAGCTCTCAATAAAATCAGAATGAACTGTCAATCACCCTGAGAGCACTGCCCATCATAGATACAGCGATGTTAACCAAAACAGAGACAGCAGAAACATACGGATATATGTTGCCGGGGGTAACGGGATCTCCTTAGCCGCCAAACTAAACCCTTAACATGCAGATCTTTGGCTCATGTTAGCACCACTTGCCCATATTACTTTTACATTTTACGATGCTAAATCTGAGACTGACCTGAATCTAGTCTGAGAGAAAGAAAAGGTTGCGCAGAATCTGAAAGTCAGAGAAACTGTTTTTCATTTGCAAACATTTGTCTTGAAGTGCAGCTCTTCTTAGGCACTAACCTCAAATGCTTTTTTTCTTTTTCATTTTTTTGCAGGAATCAAAGAAGAAGGAATACATTTTGTTTTTTAACTTCAGGGGATGATTTGTATCAGTGGGCGTGAACGGAGAGAATAAGAAAAACAGGTTCCGGTGATGAAGAATAAAGACAAAAAAGAGGAAGAGAAGGAGATGGGAAGAGAAACAAAAATCATAATTCAAGGAGGGCAGGAAGAAGGCAAGAGAATCTGTCATATCTCTGCTGTAATAGGGGAAAGGGAGCCTGTGCTGATTGGAGTTTCCATGGCAATGGTTGGCACCTAGTGTATCTGTGTGTCTCAGTGTGTGTCTGTGCGGGATTGTATTTGTGTGAGCAGGTTTTTGGTGAATGTGTTTCTGAGCATCTGGAAGTGTTTGTTAGTGTGTGTGTGTTTGCGTGAGTGTGTGTGTGTGTGTGTGTGTGCAAGTGTGTGTGTGTAGGTGGTGGTTTGAATGGGGGGATCTTGTTGGTGGATTATCAGTGTTGTCAAAGGCAAATGAGGAAGGAGACCAAGAAGGCACAACAAAGCCTCACAAACCTGCGCCACGGTTGGCCAACGCGCAGTAAGCAGAGAAAAAGAGAGAGAGAGATGTAGATCTTCTGAACTCGTTCATCGTGCTTAACTTTCACAAAGACGTTGATCTGATTGAATTTAAATTGGGAGGACAGAAAGAGTCAGGATAGGATGCGAGCCAGGACCAGAGAAGGGTTTGGATGTCCATTTGTGTGAATCAATGTTTGTCCAAATCTTCAGACAGTAACCGCCAGATTCTTCCTGCCAAAGAGTCGAGACATAAGCCAAGTTAGAGAGAACTTAAAAAGCAGGAAATTATGGAAATATACACACAGAGACGCACACTGATGCATGCTGTTCTTGTCCATAGTTTGAACTCCATACCAATGAGTTCCAGTTGGATCTCATCCGTTAATTATCCATCGGATTAGAGAAAAATCTGGCAGTTTTTCAGGCTTATAAGTAACATTTGATCATTACCTTGCTGGGTAACAGACTCTTTATTAATCAAAACCTCATAATAACAGAAACTTATGAATTCTGAGGTGAAAGTTTCTGTGGGAAGAAGTCCGACATATTCTCTCTCCGCTTGTTGACACTGTGGTAAAAACGTGAGTCTCTGTCTTAGGGCTGGTATCAAGAGTCAAGACGCAACTAGCCTGGCTGGGCCATCCAGTTGCGTGAATCACTTGCTGTTCCGTCCCACAACAGTCTGGACTTCGGCCAATTGGGAGCCCTAAAAGTGGGCGGGAGTACTTTCCTTGATAGACAGACTACTGTAACCAGTCACCGTAACCAAACATCTGACGTCATCACAGTGCGCAACTGTGTTCCCTGCTGGGCTCTCAAGCATCAAGTAAAGGTTTGGTGATATTTCAACGTGTACGAGCAAACAATGTCTTTTACGTCTTTTTCTGCGGAGTTAACGATTTCTGCCGACTTTGCAAAGTCAACTGCAGAATTAATGGCGTTCTGAATAAAGGTCACTTTGAAAAGTCCCACAGCATGTGTTAGACGTCACCGTCTACACATGGACCAATCAGGGGCTGTCTTTCCCTGTTGTCCGGGGAACAGTGGAAACACAGTCACTGATTGGCCCGGTTATTTTCTGATTTCTAATACACGCTCCCAATTGGCCGAAGTACAGGCTGTTGTGGGAAGGAACGGCAAGTGATTCACGCAACAGGATGGCCCAGCCAGGCTAAGACGCAACAACACCCAGCAGTTACTTATGGACCTGAACCAACATCCTGTCCTGCAATCTGTGCAATTCATAACATTACGGCTTTATGTTCTAACACCTTGGTTTCAAGAAGTGGAGAAAAAAAATGCAGAAACACCACAAGCTTTTCTGCTTCAAATCTGTATACTAGTGGAAGGCGGAACCAAGTTGTCCATAGTATATACAGTCTATGATCATAACGATCAAATATTTGAACTTGACTATGCACATGCTCTATTTATGGACTTTGAGTCGGCAGCCGGGGTGCTAATGTAGCACTCCTTTCACTCCTTTGCTGCAAACTGTTGCATGAACAAAGAAACAAAGAAAAGCTTGTCCTATACTACTGCGTGGGCTATCAATGTGACTTCTTGACAGTTATACACACAAAAACACATGAATTGTGTATTGCCTCCATATCGCCTGTATTCATAATCCAGCTCCTCTCCGACTCTGACACAAACACGTACGCAGCACACACTCCTCCTGTCCAGGTAATGACGGCAGCCAGATTCATTATTCTCAATCCCAGGTTCCAGGGTGGTGACCATCTAAAGGTCATGACAATAGTCTCTAATTGTTTTCAGGGGTCAGACACCTGTTTGTCAAAGCTCTAAGCTGGCACCTCATGTGTCATGCTCATTATCAATAATGGTCACAGCGCTGTAGCATCTGACAACCCTGTCCAGGGTCAATACGGGCGAGTCAAACTTTCAATTTGGGGGATAGTTTGGAAACATTTTGGATGACGTGCTGCAAAAACCCACGCAGCACCAGAATGACAGGTGTTTAGAGTCCTGAACTGTACATCTGTAGTGCATTTAGAAAGATAAACTCTTCATCGATTCATGGAGATGTTTCTGCTTTGCACCTCCCACAGACGAGCGGTCAGTCAAACAGCGTGGGCAGAACTGTTTCCTTCCATTTTCAGTGAGCAAACTTTGAGACTGTTGTGGGTGGCACTCACTTGTCTTTGTCTTTTTTGAGCGTTGGTGGGTATTGCTCAAGCTATTTTGTTCCAGCTCTTCATTAAATGTAAAATGCATCACTTGTTGTGTGCAAAAGAGCTTCCAAAGATAATAGAAACCAGTCAGACACTGGGTATTAAGACGGCTTTGGGCTAAGCTCCTAATCTGTGAAAGGTGCATTATGAACATTTATTTATAGGCAAAGCAAAGCACATTTATTTATAAAATATACACATGCCCTTCAAAGTGGTATTATAGCTTCAAAACATGGATTAGGAAACACAGGATCAAGTGTTCAGAGACAGGGAAAGATTGGAAAAATACAGAAATATAAATGAAAGAGAAGTCTGTGGCTGTTCCTGCTGGCTGGGTCTCCTCATTAAGTGTAGACAACATGTCCTAAGAAAGTGAGAGTGTTAGTTTGAGTGATATACTGTCCAGATTTCATCCTGAATAACTGGAAAGATTTAAGATAAGTAGGAGTGGGCAGATTTGTGCTTAACTTCAAATTGAAAGCCATTGCGCTGTATTTGAAAATAAGTGGGTGACATGATATAAGATGTCCAGAGTAGAAAGGTTTTGTAATCTGTAATGTTTGCTGTGCATTTGCAGTCAAAGTAAGATTGGTCAAGTCGTGTGTCAGCCGGCTTTAGTGTATGCTGGAGAAACAATATGTAAACAGAGGCAGAACAAAATCCACCATGATAACATCCAGGCTCCCATCTGCCTTAATTATACAAAGATTTATTCGTCTCAGAAAAGAGATAACTGCATCCACATGAAAGCCAATCAGTGTTTACATTTCCCAAACAAAAGAAAAAAAATGCATTAGAGTCGATTATTCTCCTTCAACAAAGCTTTTAAAAGTTTGTCTTCAGGCTAGCTGCCAAGGTCAGGCAAATCACAGCATCTGTGATCCAAACTCTCTACTGTTGAACTGAAATTCATAAGACACAGATGAGCTGGCCCGGCCTTTATATGTTATTCACCAACAATGACGACATTATTTGGACCAACAAAAAATGGCTTATGCATATTTGGATGTCATCTGCATAAAGACATCTTAGACCGTATAAGATACTGTTAGACAGCAGTTAAGGCTGTTCTACTGTGGTCAATGTTTTGGCAAAAGTTTTTTGTTTGTACGCTGCATTCTTAACAGTTTGACCAACACCATCAGTGCATTTACATGCTAGGTCACGCTAGGGTCATGGCGCAAAACGGCGACTAAATTGGATTTCTATTCATGTCCCAGTTTACAAGAACTAGACAAGAATTGAATCATGGACTGAGGCAAGTCTGCACACGTCCTTTTTCAGCTTGTTACAGCTGTGTTGTCTCCGGGGTTGAGCTGTAACGTACAAAAACAATAACAAAACCTGTTAGCAAGTGGCTAACGTTGCATTTACAGTTCTGAATCTTTTGTTCGATGATACAGCAGTTTCCTCTTGTCTTTGAATCCTTTTTGGTTAGGGTTTCGTTTCCTGCTGATTTACTAGAAACATATATAAGAATATATTAAGAATAAACAGTTTTCATGCATGAAACTCAAAAACCCGCTCGAACTTGAATGTGCTGTACAAATCAATCGCAAATTGTTCCAGCTGTAAAAAATCAGGTCCCTCAACAACAGATTCATATGCAGGAATCTATTTGTAAAGGGGGACCAAATACAAGCACGAACAGGTAAAATAGAGAGGACCGAGGAGTGAGCCCTGTGGAACTCCAAAGGTCAAGATGGGTGATTAATTCAAATAAACTCAAGCTGAACTCTTGAAAATATATCGAAGCAGTAAAGCCAAACATGTTTTGTATTTCGTGAAGTATTTAAGTCACTGAAAGGGAGTAAAAGTTTGGAGCCAGATAAGAATGAAATACGTTTTATCACAGATGCATCTGGACTAATGGTGTGTTGATACAATAAGTAAGCTACATGTGCTTTTTACTGCATTATCACTAAGACAAATCCCTCAAGATAACAAACATAACAACAAATATATTTTTCTAATATCCATGCTATAAAGAAGGAAATAACAACAAATTTGTTTTAACAGCAGGCTGGTTTCAGTTTACACTCTGGATATCTGCTGAGTAAATACAACAATCTGTCCGAGCCTGTTGTCACTTCACTTCCTCTTCAAATCCTCTGCCGCGGTGGGAAAGTGCTCACGTTCATAAATCATTCACTTGTTATTCTGCAACCCAGATACAGAAGAGACAAATTCAGCCTTCCTATCCCACATTATATCCATCTATTCTGCTCTCTGCGACTGTGATAGAGAATTCTGTCGCAACTTTCCGACTTTGTAAATGTCAATCTCTCCGAGGTTTATGGAGAGACTTGATAGCAACAACGGGCTTTTCATGCCGGCTTCAGTGCCATGATAATTAGGCAGAGTTTTTGGAGGCAGGCTAAACTTGGCATGCTGTTTGCAGCATTTGCATACGTGCGTGTTTGCGGGTGCGCGCGGTGGTGGTGGTGGTAGTCAGGAGGGTAACTGTGCTGATCAGCGGTACACAATGGACTAGCAGCTGGTGTAAACGATAGCAAGGTCATCACTACTGCAGCCAGTAGATCAGGACTGTGTGAGAGAGAGAGAAAGTGTGTGATGGAGAGTCTGGGAAAAAGGGAAAGCGGGGTTGGCCAATGTGTTGGACGCTGTGGAAACATTTCTATCCAATTGTGAAGGGGACTTTTCTGACTCAGCGGACAACACGCAAATGAAGTGCCATCCCCATACCAAATATTTGACATTTTTTTAGATTTCATTCCAAGGACCAAAAAACTTTCTAATTTAGTTTGTGATATCATTGTACTATTATTTTCAGCTGCACCATTCTCCACAGAGCAGACTAGGTCCAACAAGATATGAAAAATGAGTGTCAAAAGTATTTTTACAAGCCTCTACGGGAATCATTTTTCCTCAACAATTGGACTTGGTTATCATCATTCAGTCAAGTTTTTCAGTTTTAAACAGCCTCGTGGAGCCTAAAATGCTTGGAAAGTGGGTCTGGTATAACCCCATTTTCTCAGGAGATGGCACAGATTAGTTAAATGAGCAAAAACTAGATTAGTCAGAGAGTGAAAAACAGAACAAAAAGACAGCGAAAGAGCAAACTGGATCATAGAACTGTTAACAGGATTTCTGGAGGCTGTTATGGGAATATCTGGGATCACAGTCAACACGGCTCATCTGTCATGTTACTCGTCTGTCCATTTCTGACAAAAGGCGAGAATGAATCTTTTTCTTTGATTCGAAAATGTAACAAAAAAATAAGGAGGTTTGATTTGTGGGCATGTGGGGTGTGAAACAGAGAGGAATAGAGCGCTTTTGTGAATGATCTGGAGGAAGAGACTGTACCTGTGAGCTGAGTGCTCTGACATAGAGAGAAGCTGCTGTTGTTGTTGTTTAGATTCGGAGACCTCCAGAAAATCAACTCTCCAATCAGCTGGGCTCTGTTTGATAAAGAAGAAACACAGACTCAGCTTTAAAGGTCACCGGTGTTAAAAACGTCTGAAGTTACAGCTCTGCACGTGGTAAATTTAGACTGAATAACATGTACTGAAAGTAAAAAAATAAGATGCAAGCTGTGTTCTGCAAGAAACACAACAATGATGCCTCCTTAAAGATGAGTTTTCTTTGCGTTTTTTCGCCATCTGCTCTCTGCATTGTGGCTCTTTACATATTGACTTGTCTCCTGCGTGATCCATGGGGTTATTTTCCAGTGTTTTCTGCCGTAGCCCTCTTCATGAATACCAAACAGCACTGTTTAATTTGTATCATTGCCTTCTTAATGATCTGACGTCTGAATTTAATGAACTCTGGATATAAGTAACAAACAAAGAGGAGCAGAGATGGGAGTTTGGCTGCACAATTTGGCGCTGAAGCAACGCGAAGAGTGAAATTCCTGCATGTAAACAGAGAAGCAGCATATTGAAAATGTCACATTAGCTATATTTATTAAAATCTCCCCGCTATGCCTCACTGTGCTCTAGATTTCCTTCTGGTGCGATAAGTTTTTTAATGAATTGGCCGGCATCCAGCAGCTCAATATTACCCTGACAATAGCAGCCTCTGCACGCAGCTAAATATCTGATGCCGATTTCTCTGCTGATGTGGAGCGCTAAATACAGAGATGCCATTAGCATGAGTCCCTCGCCATTATCTTAGCAACACCATCTTGACATAAACATTTTGGAGGCAATTAAAGATTATATGAGTGTGTTTGTGTGTGTGTGTGCGCACAGAGCTGTCAAAGAGCAATTACGATGACAATGTCCTCAATGTTGCAAATGGCTCATTTTCATATCAGAGGAGATGGTGATGTTTCCCTGATTTGATTAATGTGTTTTCAGAAGGACATGTGCAAAAACCCCAAACACGTCTGAAACCACACACACACACACACACATTTACACACACTTATAGGAGATGGATGGGAGGCAGTAAATGGCTCCTAATTGATGCTCTACAGCTTTTGTTTCATTATTTACAGGCTCGCCTCATTATTCCAACATTCCCGACTCTGAGTACTCCACAGAGCTGCTTCCATGATATAAACAAATAAAAACAAGAGGCTGAATAGCGAACGGCTCGGCTTCATCATTATGGAAGATGTATGTCTGTGTGTGAGAGTGTGTTTGTGGGAAGTGGGGTTTATTTTATGAGCGTGACAGTATGTGAAAGCAGTCGTCTGCAGTGTTGGGGTTGACCATAATTGGAAAAGTGTGTGAGTTTATGCATGAGTGTGTGTTTGAGTGACACTTAGTTGGAGTCAAAGTCCGAGAATCTGGTTGCAGAAACTGGAAAAACTTTGTGCATGAGGGGGACATATCCACAGTCCACTTCTGAAGATGTGTTGCACAAATACAAATCTATGACAGCAGGGACTAAAATTAATGCAACACTTGAAATAACAAAATATGAACAACGGTGAACAAAAGTACCCACTGAGCAATAGCCGGCTATTAGGCGTCTAGTTTTTTTTAGACCTAATTTTAAACGTCCAGATTCTGTTTATTTTTAGACGGATTTAGACGTTGCACTTTAACCCATTGTTCAATAACTATTTATTTCAAGCTGAAAAACTGATCTCCAAGTACTTAACCAAAATAATAATGATGGCCGTTGAGCAATATACAGTGTAGTGTAGATATAGCCCAGATTTAGATTTGGTCTAAACTTGGTTTAGATTTAAATTTAGACGTCTAAAAAACTTACATTTATAGACCTGTGGTAGTCTGATTTTAGACCAGTTGTCTAGGCCAGTGGTTCTGAAGTCCACTGTCCTGCATGTTTTGGATGTTTCCCTGCTCTAACACACCTGATTCAAATGATCAGCTCATTAGTAAGCCATTACAGAGCTTGATAACGAGCTGATTATTTGAATCAGTTGTGTGACTGGACTTGAGAACCACTGGTCTAGGCTACATTTAGATGTCTATCAGACCTCTTTTAGACCAAAAAATGCTCAGCTCAGGGTACTTTTCCCCCCACTTTCTCATACCTCCGCAACTAAGCATCCATATTTTGTTTTTCCTTGTCTTTCCCATAGCTCCAGACAACAACTTCTGCTACAGTGCTTTACTACCCAGATGTAACCAAGCCCAGATGACATCTTGTATAATGGCATGTTTTTTTTTTTAGTAGATAGATAGATAGATAGATAGATATGAAAGGATTATCTTTAAAATGATACTGATGGTAATTGAGCTACATGAATCTTGTTATGTTTACTTTTTACCTAGCTTGCAACAGGGGGATTAATTGTGACACGTGCAAACAGGAATACCTCCACAAGAGTCGCCCCTTGTTGACCATGACTGCAACGTCAAATCAGTTCTGCGTCGGCTTTACATTTAAAAGTGGAAAACTCCTGCAGACTAACTTTCAAAAATTACATTTATGAGAAATTTGTTCATCCTCGACTTTTAATCTGTGAGGAAGAGCAGAAAATCTGAAAAATTGGTACAGATCTTTTGCACTTTTTATTCGTCCCACCCCTGCATACATGTCCGATGAAATAGATGTGCAAAGCCTCTTCGAGAGACTTTCAGAAAAGTTTTTAGCTGCCAAAAACTTTCACTACCAGCCAGTAAAGTGAGGGAAATTAAAGTATACTGTCTTTACATTTTAACAGCGTGTTCTTTTAACCATTACTTCTTAAATATAAAGGGTGTTAATATGTCCCGTAATGCTCATAATGATCTGTCAGCGGCTTTACTTTACTGAGGAGGCGTCAATTTTTCCACATGATGTAAACGTCACTTTGGAGGGAAAAACCTATAAAAATACAGATCCTAAAGTATGAGCGGCCTTTTCACTTTTATCGTAATCATGCCTGGGTGTGAGTGAGATCATATTTTTCGGATGTGTGTGAGAGGTCGGTGTGGGCCTTAATTGAAGCAGGTCGCTGTGCCAGACGAGCCATTATGGGGCCGAATCTTGATCTAATCCGCAGAGTTAGTGGCCTTAAATAGATAATGCTCCTGTACTGGGGTCCGGTCACAGGGGGGAGGCTGAACACATGCTGCATTGATGTGTGAGTGTGAGTGTGAGTGTGTGTGTAAACCTACAGGAGTAGACAGCTGAAACCCAGCCAAAGACAGAGCGGCATGCCTGTAGCATGAGCAGCGAACTTTCCGGAGTAACTGAGACCCCCAGCTGGTCTCTGCAGAGTGGTGTAACTTTAACGCTGCGAACTTGGTCTGACAATCCAGATCCAGGAAGCAGAAAGAAGGCCTGAGGACGGTGAAAGAAGAGCCAGTGATGGAGAGAGGGAGACTGGCAGTGAAACAGGGTGAAAAACATGGCAGCAGACAGATGAAAACACTCCAAATGTGAGAAACTTCAAGTGTAAAAAAATGTTCGGGAAAAGGTAAACCTGCCAGACAAAACAATGCGGGAAAAAACCTGAGCGAGGCATTAGAGCAGCTTGTCAATCACGACCCCCTTGACACGCACGGAGCAGGTGAGCCGAGGTTTAACTGATACACACACCGACGAGTCAATTACAGGCCAGCCAGGCAGAATGTCACGGCCGTCCGGACACTAAACCGACGGCTTAACCTCCTCACACTGCATCAATATGCCTCAGTGGAGAGGATGGAGGAGGGGGGAGGGAGGAGGAGGAGGAGGAGGATGCTGATGGAGAGGACATGCATGGGAATTTTCAACAAACAAAATTTTGTCTGTGCAAAATATTTGTGACACTAAAGTTCAAGAAAAAACAACATTGATGTATCGTATCATACCATATCAAATAGTATTGTATCATCAGCATATATAATAATATTTGTATCATAACCTATTGTATCTTATTGTATAGTGAGCAAATATTTATTGTACGATATGGAACATATCACATTGAATCCAAAAGTTTCTTTTAATATTTTAATTCTCTCGAGTTTTCTGGTATTGGTTAATTTTGGGGTAAAAATATTTGCTGTTAAATTTTTGTTTCTCCTTTTTTAGTTTTGACAAAAAATATTTGCAGTTGCCACATTTATTGTTTATAAAATCCACTTATTTTGATAGAGTACAGTATCATCGGCATCTAATGTAATCATATTGTGTCGTCTGGTTAGAAAATATGTTTTAGCATTTTTTTAAAAATTTTGTTTCTACTTTTGTAGTTTTGACAAAAAATATTTGCAGTTGTCACATTTATTGTTTATAAAATTCACTTATTTTTGATACAGTACGGTATCATCGACATCTAATGTAATCATACTTTATCATCTGGTTTTAAAAAATTTTTTTTTCATTTTTGGTTCTTGCACATTTCTTTGTCAATTTTTTGTCAACCCTCTTATTTTTGCAAAGCTAACTGTATTCTTGACCTATTCTTGATTAGAGAATTATGTTTTATTATTTATTTATTTTTTTATTGTATTGTATCACTTTGTCCTTTTGTACGTTTTTAGGTAAAATATGAAATTTATCAAATTTTTCCAAATTACCAAATCTTCTGCCCAGGGATAGATTAATATTTTGTTGTGCATTTTTGTGCCATATCTTCCCAACATTAAAACTGACATTAACAGTATCAGAAATACAAAGAAAAATCACGAAGGCCTATCTCATAGAAATAAGGATAGGAAAAAAAGGAAATCAGATTTATAAAGATTCAGTGCTGCAAAATATCCAAAACCCGACTGAGTCATATATTAGTGACAGCATTTCCACTGAAATGTATTTAGGTGAAGTTTAACTTTGCAAAGAAACAGCGGGGAACTTTCTTCTTTTACCATTTAATTTCCTCTTTTTAATTTCCACGTTGGTGAAAGGGCTGAATCAGCAGTTCGACTTTGATCAGAATAAAGGCAGCGCTCACCTTTCTCACCTGTCGTTTTAACACTCATAACAGTGACATCTGATTTAATTTCCCTCATGCTTCGTTTCCAGTGTTTGCCAACAAAGCTATCAGTGTAATGTATAAATTTTATCACTCACTTCGCTGTAAAAGTTCACATGGCCTCTATAAGATGCTGAGCGACAGAGCCAAAAAGCAATTAAACATGTCCTCTAAAAAGTAACCCAGAAGAACATCATGACGTTACAGACAATGTTTTAATTAGCATGAGCTCAGCGCTTAAAGGACATGAAGACACACGGTGTACTAACTGGACTCTGAGGTGTTTGATAAGAAGTAAGGAAGAACAAAAAACAGCTTAAACACTCAGATGAATGTGCTATTGTTTGCTATTGTTTCTGAAAGGCCATGTCACTATCATTAACACTCAATAACTTTGACACTGAACCCAATCTGGCTTTTTACAGAGTCGTCCAACATCAATGTTTGGTTTGGCGAGAGGCTGCTCCGACTCTGAAAGACTCTGAAAGAAGCCGCAGTGAGTGGAAAAGGAAGTGTGAGCTTAAGTATTATCGGAGTGAGTCTCAACAGCTGCTGGAAAGTATGTTTGTGATATTTAGTTGGTGGAGTTGAGCCTGTGTGACTTCGGTGTTTTTAAATGGTGAGTTCACAGCCAATACTAAAATACCAAAAATATCCAACCATGGCAGCTGTAGAGAAGATACTCTGGGAGGTACAACTAATGTTAGTCTAGACTGAGGCTCTGAAAAAAGCAACATAAGCATCATATTCTCTCCTTTTAGACGAGGATATAACTTAAAAAGCTCTTCATCTGTATAAATCTGTCCAGTAATATTGCCAGAAGCTTGGCCGATAAGTTTTTGTCTGCAAAACTAAGAACTTGATTTAACCTCACCTCCAGATCCTTTAGGGCCTCGTTTTAACAATTTGATATGTATGTTTTAAAGCATATTGTGCAAAATTAATTGTTAAGTGGTGAGAGAGTGTTCATGATGTTGAATCAGGCTGTAGTTTTTGGTTCATACAAAGTTTAAGAGCGACAGGTGTGTGAGAAAGTGGTGCTGATGGTGCCCTCCTCTTCTGACATCCCTAGTTTGGCCTGATACCAAAAGCAGTGCCATAGTGCATGGAGCAAAAGAAAAAAAGACTTATGTTTCCAAACCCTCTTTCCCAATAAACATTCAAATATGCTGTAACAGCAATAAAACTGACCTTTATTATGAGCAGGAGTGCTGATGCTTCTGTTTTTTTGAGTGTGCAAAGCAGAGGACTGTGTGTGTCCGAAACTCTTAAAGCCGTCGTCGATCTCATGACTGTCCAGCTGGACTTTGGTGCATTAACGCATCTGTTGTTACAATCATATCTTCTAATTAACACACACTTCTAATAAATAAGCTGCTTGTCTTAACATCTCCTAAAAGTTGCTTCTTGCAGACTCCTTCAACTCATGTTGCTCTTTGAGAAACTTGACTCCACCGCTGTCTTATAAGTTTTCTGTGTTAAGGGTTTTTTTTACTTTTAGACAAAGTGCAAAAAAAAGTGATCAGAAAGTGACACGCAGATCCCTAAAACAATTGCCAGTTTGAAAGAAGCACACGTTACGGTCTGAAAAGTAAAAAAAAGCGGGTGTGCAGTTCAGTGACCAACATCTCATAAAGTCTTCTTTTATTTTGTAAATAAAATTAAGTAACAAAGTACGTAAGAAATTATCAAAATAACAACTTCCTATTGGGGGAAAACAACATTTTTTTCTGATATGCGGCTCCATGATCCAACAATGTGTAAAGAATAAACATACATGTATATATATATGTTTTTGAGGTATAAAAGCTCACTAACTGTGCAGGACTGCAAATGAACAGATTCTGGATTTCAGCTCTGGACTTAAATCGAAGTACACAACTAGTATTTCCTTAGTCCTCCTTCTATAATAGAGTCATAATAAAACTTGATTAAATAGGACATTCACAGAAGGAACAAAAATGGAACACCTCCTTATCTCTAAATGTAAAGTGAGTGTTTTTCTGTACTTGTCTTTTTGACTTATTTTTTAATCTGTGATACATAAAAACAAATTAAATACAGTTAGAAAAATCAACCTAACCTTATTGTTGATGTGTCTCTCTCAGTTGTCAGCGTTTCCTACAATCCTGCTGGTGAAAAACCAGCGTGTCCACTCACTTCCAGCTGTCAGTTGTGTTTAACTGACTCACACATCTCCTGTCATCCTGTAACAAACACACATGCACATAAAGAGTTGATGCATACATAGGTGGATGCTCACATAACAATATCTATAGGGCTGTTGCTGACTTTGTACTCCACTTAAGAGGACAAAAAAGGACACAACTCGTCCTCTCGGGCGCCCAGAGGCCTCATGAGTCAGTGTGCCCCGGGGCTCTCGTGTGTGCAGACCCTGACCCCTGATGCCGTGGAGTCTGTTTAAAGGCCCACACACACTCAGATGCTACAATGGCAACTTTATTCAGCGTTAATGCTCGAGAAAGTGCTCTGTTTGTGCCGGGAATTTAACCAGGCGCACAGGGAATCCCCGGCTCAGACCCCCTCCCCGTCCTCACCCCTCTGAAGTAGGGTGGGCTGAGATAAGGCGTGTTATAAAAACACTCTCTCAGAGGGTGGTCAGAGCGGGCAGGTCACATAGCTCTGATGTTTACGGGGGAAATCCATGAAGTGAGCTGCTTCAAGGAGACGTGTGTGTTTGTAATGTGTGTGTGTGAGTGCGTATGTGTGTGTGTGTGTGGTTTATTTATTGGCCGGATCGTTCTTATCGTCTGTTAGGGAAAGACTGTGCAGCACTCGAGGCCGTGGTACACTTTGAGTGCGAGGCAGTGCCAGGGAATGTGTTTGAATGAGGGGAGAGGTCACTCAAGTGCACAGAGGTAACGAGACTCCTGCCCCCTGTAGGTCAGAGAGAGGATGAACAACAGTGAAGCTCATGCATTTGAAAAACAAAGAGTTTGTGCATCAAACTTAGGGCAAATTCAAGCACAAAAAAAGAAAAAAAAGATTTTTTTTTTTGTTTCGTATAAATTGGAGTTTGAAACAAACTCTTCTCCTTTTGAATCATGTGCTTTATTTTTACCTGCTACCTCTCGAATAATGATGGTAAACAACAACCCCATTGCTCTTTTATACCGCACCTTTTGCTTGATCAACCCCTAATTTGTTAAGCCACAATAATAAAGTTATGCTACTACTTAATTCTTGTAAAATGGAAACTTCAACTTTGTTCTTCAATATTATGTCTTAGTCACTTTAATTTCTTTAAAGTGTGTGAACCCACACAGACATTAACCACAGTCCAAAAATCCTATTTACAATCCGATTGAAAGGTCAATCAGATTCAAAATGTCTCATATAAACACCTTAGCCAATCTGATTCATCCGGATCTGATTGTATTTCGGGTCGGATTGTAAAAAGTAGTCTACACCGATTGATAATCCGCTCCTTGCTCCATATATACGGCTGA